ATTTGTGATTTAGAGTTAATTAAGAAGAACAATTCAGTTCTAAACAATCTCAAAGCTTTGCTTTATCTTTCAGCAGATGCATTATGCTGAATTTGAACCAATGACGACGATCATTAGCACAATCACAGTGGTTGAACCACTAGACTACATACCTTTAGTAAGTAGAGAGACTTCGGTTCAAATACTATTTGTTTGTTAGCAGAATGTTCGGATTATTTTGCTTTGTTATTAATCAAAATGTTTTGGCGTGTGAATTATCGTCCATGCCATGCATCAAATATTAGTAGAGACTCTATTGACATTTAAGGTTTTTTCGTTTATGGCATCGTTTAGGTAATTATTAGTTGAGGATCAAAATTATGTGTGTTTAGTTTGGAAAAGAATCAACAAGCATTACATCTTGTTTAATCTTTGGTCATACATAATTTGTGTATATAACATGGGAGGCTCGCTTGGTAGATATCATCACGTACGACAAAACACAAAAATATACACAAGTTTTATTACAAAAATTTAAGGAAAGAGAGCTCCTTAGTTAAAAGAAGAAGAAATGGACAAATATAAGACTTATAGAGAGAACAGCTAAATTATAATAAGAAAAATGTTTAAAATGCTAAACAACAAGGATTAGAACATGGATTTTTACAATTGCAAAAACAACAAGAACAAAGTCGTACCTTGGGACATTTAAAACAAGATGACCATCTGATCTTGCAGTTGCAGCTGCAGCATGAGCTCTTCTTCTTACTCAGACACGACGGTCGACTACAACAACTGCGGAAACAAGTGGGAATGCAGCAAGATATATCTGGACAAGAACAGCAGCAACCTTTGAAGCATGAACAGCTCGGGCAGCTCGGTCTCGGGCAACAACAAATGTTTGAGCAGCATGAACCGTCACAGCATTTGGAACCAATGAAGCTGCAAGTTGTGCAGCTGCAGCACTTGGGCTTCCTTAGATGGCACGAACACTCGGATTGGCAGCAACAGCAGAAACTTATCAGGCTCAAACACGGAATACCGCTACTGCATTGAGTTAATTACTTAATTAGTATCACTTATCACTTAGCCAAGGTAGATCCGTAGATATACTTGTCATTTCTAACCACCTAAGCTAAAGCATCGCCTAAACTATTTTCTTAGGAAAACTACTAGGACTGTCTCAAATTATTCGAGGTGCGCAAATTTTATATCAATCATGTAAATATTCAAAATGTTCTTTTAAAATATAACTCTGAAGTCCTATTTGACTGTCCTGTTAATTACCCTACATTGGTCGCAAGGAAGTGAATATAAATGCACAATGAAAATGAGATTATTGGGCGGTAAGATCTTACCAGAGCCACTTCCAGAACCGGCAGGGTCTTCGACTCTTTCGTTGTCTGTCCGTATGCAAAATTAAAAGGAATTGTAAGAGCGAGAAAAGTGAAGTCTTTTATAGTGAACTAGAAATATCCTTACGCAGGGATCAATGGGTCAGAATTCGCAACGACAAAATCAGAGACCCTGCCACAATGAAAACATATAACATAGATGAGAGTCCATAAACATATTTCTTTTATCAAAACTGATACAAATGTTTGAAAAATAGAGAGATCGTCTCACTCTTTGCAGCATCTAGACGCCGGTTGTACGCCTTCGATGAATTTAATTTCCCCCTGTTCACACGGACATTCGAAATATCGGTTAATAAACTTCATCTGACTCGTCATTATCCTCAACCAAAAGTGCATTTGCTTGGCAAATCGAATAAAAGCTAAATTCACATGACACTAATGGGGCCAAAGAGGAACAAGAAAACACAAAATGGTCACATTTCAATTTCTCAGGAGAAACTAAACATACACATTAGTATAAGTATAAAAATGATTAACTGATCAATTATATGCATTATAGAAAGTAAACATATGTGAAAGCAACGTGAAGAAGGAAAAAGGTGAGCAAGGAATTGTCCTTTCAAACGCAGATAGCAATAAAGACAAAAACTTTCACAAATTGAGTCATGAAAAAGCAAAAGAAAATAAAATACAACTGCAATAGAAACTAACTAAATTCAATATTTTGTTAGATCTACTCAGC